GCGGTCGCCGGCGGGCGGGCGGTCTCCAGCCGCCCAGTCGCGGGGGCCGCGGGTGGTCGCCTGCCGGCGGGCGGTCTCTAGCCGCCCAATCGTGTGGGCAGCGGGCAGGCAGTCGGTCGCCGGCAGGCAGGCGGTCTCTAGCCGCCCAGTCGCGTGGGCAGTCGCCAGCCAGCGGGCGGTCTACAGCTCAGTGCGCTGGCAGCCGGCGGGCGATCGGTCGCCGGCGGGCGGGCGGACTCCAGCCGCCCAGTCACGCGGGCAGCGGGTGGGCTGTCGCCGGCAGGGGTGCGGTCTCTAGCCGCCCAGTCGCTAGGGCCTGGCCTCTAGTCCCCTGGTTTCTCCTGCTAGTCCTGGCTTCTCCTTCTAGTCCAGTCTTCCCCTGAGTGATGCCTCTGGGCAGTTCAAACTGTACTCTGGGCCTCCAGTTTGCTGGGTATGGAGGGTGGCTATTGGGAACCCGGGCACTCTATTGTTTTGATTTTTTCCGCTTGCCCCTCCCCAAGCGCTTGCAAGACAGGTTTCATTTTCGCCGCTGATGGGAGGGGGAGTTGGAGGTCAGGTGTCTCTCCCTTTGCCCCGTCTTTATGGAGGCTCGTTCTGATAATCCCTCCCCCGGAAAGGCTAGGAGAGATTTTATGCGAATTCCCTGCTGTATGGGAGATGGGCTGAGTAACACACACCTGTTTTATTGTTGCAATCTGTCGGAGACTGGCGGTGGTTACGTCAGCTCTCCAAGATGGTGGCCGCTGGCTTCCTTGTTGGAGTTTCCGTTGTGGGGGATAGAAGTGGACCGCTTCCTTCCCCGTCTGAAATCCCAAACTCAGCCTGGGGCTCAGTGAGGGCACAGCCGGCAGGATTCCACAGAATCTGTAGCAACGTTTCTCTCTGCTTGCTGGTCGCTTCTCGGCGGTGACCCGCCATCTGTAGCCACAGGGCGGGCAGCGCGGATCAGTCAGCCTGGATCTCCGGTGGTACAGTTGGCTCGTGTTTGAGACTCAATTACCGGACCTCGGTGCTGGAAATCCTTCCTCTAGGTTTCGGTGTACCCCAATTTTGCTGTAAATTCCTAACAAGATAGTTTTTTGTCGTTCTAACTCGTTATTCACCTGCGCAGTGACACGGTACACGGGGTGTGATGCACTCTATTCGTGGCCATCTTGGAGTCTTACCGTATAATCTTGATATAAGGTTTTAACATCTCTTTCTCAACAATTAACGGTTTAAAAAGGCAAAAAAAAAAAAAATAATAAGATGGGACTGGGAATGTGGCAGTGGTACAGTGCTTTCCTGGCATGCATGGGGCCCTGGGTTTGATCCCCAGCACCACCACCAGAAAAACAGAAAAAAAAAAAAACCTATATAAGAAAGCACAAATAGCAGCTGTTTTAGTCAGCTTTTTCACTCTTGTGTCCAAAAGACCTGACAAGAACAATTATAAGGAGGAGTAGTTTCTTTGGGCTCATGGTTTCAGAGGTCTCCTCTCATCGACGGCCAACTCCATTCCTTGGAGCCTGAGGTGAGACAGAATATCATGGAAGAAGTATGTGGCAGAAGAAAACAGCTCAGGACTTGGCACCAAGGGAGGAGAGTGTGCTGTGCTCAACAAGGACAAAATATATACCCGAAAGGCATGCCCCCAGCCACATCCCACCTGTAGTTACTACCCAGTTAATCCATTCAAGTGGATCAATGCATCGATCAGGTCAAAGATATCATAATCCAATCATTTCACCTCCAAATTTCTTGCATAATCTCACGCATGAGCTTTTGGAGGATGCCTCATACCTAAACCATGACAGCAACCATTTCACATGGAGCAGTGGACAGCACAACTGCCACTAGAGAGGCCAGATGATTCATCTGGGGTAAAGAGCTAACTAGTCTGCTAAAGCCCATTCATAGAATGACCAGATAGCCAAAATCCAAACATGCTGAAAGCTAAACCACTGAATATCAACTTGCTGAACAACCAATTTGAATTATTGAGATTTTTCCAAAAATGTGTTTCATCTCCACTCCTGACCTTGCCTGTGTCCAAACTGCGAAAGTTGTCAGAATCAAACTGGAGTCACCCATGTCAAACCCTAACAGATTGGAGCCACCTGCGTGTTACCCTAGCAGAAACAGAGAAACCATGAGAGGGAAGGTTTCCTCGCACAGATTTACCTGATGACAAGAACCATCAAAAGACTGACAAAACCACAATTTTGCACAAAGGCCACAGCATCCTTGCAGAAAAAATACATCTGTAGGATGCCTACCCTGCAAGAGCCAGTTCAAAGTTGACTGGCACCATCCTTGTGGCCACAGATTGTTTCAGAAGAGCTATGTAACCTTGCCTATCTTACCCTTTTGGAAACCTTGTCCTTCTTTTGCCTCCACTATGGCAAGTATATCTTGGATTGCAACCCCTGTCATCCTGACTAAAATCTTTGGAAAGCTGTTCACTATACCATTCATTGTAGGTTGATTAAAGCCACCAAAGAAACCCCATTTAGGCAAGTTTTCTGCAATCATTTTGTATTGCAGACACAAGAACTGGCACAGATGCACATACAGTCAAACGTGCAACCAAAGCTTTAGGGGAGAGGATCGGGGAGGTTTCTTTATAATTTGGCCATCAGCAGATTTGATGCTGATAAACTGCTTTTAGTGACTAATGGCCCAGAGTCTACAAATGGGGGTGCTTGAGTCAAGAGGGGCCAAACGTTGTACTTTAAAAAAAGAAAAGTGTGTCTTTCTTAGATGGAGATACTCCTTTGAAAGCTTTTAAGGTGAAAGAATTTTAAAGTTTAGGGGTCAGCAGACCAGTGATAGTGTTCATGGCCTTAGGCCTAGGACCTAACCTGAGTTGCCAGGTCCTGTAGGGATTTGGAGAGGAGACATTGAGTTTTAAGTTTGACTTTTCTGCCTGGTTAAACTTCCAAATCTTCTTCAATAGGCTAAACAATGCTGGACCTGTGCCAAAGGTGCTTCCGGGTATGAAGGAGGGGTACTGCCCCAGTGTGCTCTGGGTAGTGATGGAGAGTGGCCAAGCCAAGGGGTGTCAGTATCATATCCTGTTTCCTGGATTTCTGGGAGGTAACCAGTCACAAAAACAGCGGGGCCTATGGAAACCCAGCGCTGCTAGAGACCCATACCTGGATAACTGGGATAGAAATTCACTTTCCTGGCTGAATGTTCTCTCTGATATGTGGATGCTATATAAAATAAGGGGGAGGGAGGACAATAGAAGTTCACTGGATTAGACAAAGGGGAATGAAGAAAGGGAAGGGGTGGGAATAGGAGAGACAGTAGAATGAATCGGACTTTGCTCTCCTATGTTCATAGATGAATACACGACTGAGTGTAACTCACATCATGTACAACCACAAAAATGGTAAGTTATATTCCATGTATGTATAATATGTCAAAATACATTCTGCTGTCATGTATAACTAAAAAGAACAAATAATAAAAATAAATTAATAAATTTCCTCTCAAGTATTCTGAGTGAATGATATGGAAATGACAACCCCAAAACAGTGGCCCGGAAGAGGGAGGGAGGAAGAAGTCGAAACACTGATAATCTTGATCCTTTCCCAGTGACAGAACAATCTCTGGGAAGGAAGCAAACATCATCCAGTGATAAGACAATCCCTAGGAAGGAGATATCCATCAAACCTAAAAGTGACAGTCTCTGGAAAGAAGCCAAAACATTGATCCTTCCCTGCCACAAAATCCTTTCCCAGTGACAGCATAATAGACCCCGGAGGGAAAGAGATAAGATGTAAACATTTGAAATTTGTTTTTACAGGGCAAGTATGGAGGGTCCAGAGTTAGCATTCAGTGCTTATCTATTAAAGTCTTCAGTGCTTGTCCGTTAAAGTTTTCAACGGTTAAGCCATCTCCCAGTGTGTAACCTATGTGAACCCAGACTTCTGTAATCAGAGGCCGTTCTCTACCCAGAAAGTGAGCCATCTGATGCCTGACTCCACTGCTGAACAAAAAGCAGAGCTGATCCTGAAGTCTGGTCCCGGCCCGGTTATTTGTACTTTCTTTATGGTGCCGAAAGGGTTTTGGTTATTTTTGCTTAGTAATACTGAGTATTCCCGGAGAGGAGGGGCCCTGGGCGGCAGGCATCTGGACTGGGTCCCAGATTTAGAGAAGGTCTGCACTTCGGGGGACCTCTGTTTCCGCTGTCCCTCCAAGATTCGGTCTGGAAGAGCAGGTTTCCCCCGCCTAGCCCACCTTCTCTGGGTTCTTCTAACTGGCTCTCCTCTTCAGAGAGGAAAACGCGGCTCGGCGGGCTCAGCCTGTGGCCTCCCCGCAGAGGGCCCAGCGTCTGAATTCCGGGGTAACACAGCAGGAAGCGGATAGTGGTGAGGCCCAAGCTTAGTTCACTCATTGCGTGTTTACTTAAAATCCCACATAACAGAACAGACCAGCAAATAGTCACATGAAATACAACGGCACGCAGGGGTCAGTAGTGCGGTGAGTGAAGGGGCTGGGAACAGATCCTGAAGACGCGCCAGGATCTGGCGGCCGCTCCGGCCATCCTTGCTGGGCCCCGTGCCCTTGGGCCTGCAGCCCTCGGGCTCCCCAACTCAGGGTCGAGTTTACGTGACAGCGGCCTCTGGGAGACACGGGTCACTTCTCGTCGGAGCATCCCCACCTGGCTCCTGGACAGGATGCTCTCGGTGTCGGGTGCCTGCATGAATCAACAGAGACAGAAGGATGCTTTCACGCGGGCGCGTGCAGCTGCAAGCTGGACAGAGCCGGTCCGCCCGCCAGCTGTCTGGCAGCCCTGGGGAGCAGGTGATGGGCAGCGAGCAGGCCCCGGCCCGCCCCGGCCCCGCGGGGCCTTCTGGGAAGCGTAGTCCGCGCCTGCGCCGGCCGGAAGCGGGACCACCCTCCCGGGATGCGCGGCGCGGGGGCGGGCTCGGCCAGGCGCGGGGCGGGCCCGGGCGCGCCCACTCCGCCGCTCCCCCGCGGCCCGCGCTCGCGGCCCCGCCTCCTGCCGCGCGCAGCAGGGCCGCCCGGGCCGACGGTGGCTGCCTCCGCCTGTGGCCGCCGGAAGCTGGGCCGGCCGCGGGGCGGCCGCGCGGCTGAGTGCTGGGATGGCGCGCCAGGTAAGGCGAGCCGGGGCGGGGCGCGGGCCGATGGACGCGGCGGCGGGTCTGCTGTGCGCCGCGCGGCCGGGGGCGGCGGGGCGGGGAAGAGCCGGGACCCAGCCAGGCCAGCCCGCTGCTGAGGACTTCGTGCGCTGAAGTCCAGGTCCAACTCCGACCCCTACCCTCTTCCGGGACCCACGGACCCGAGTCCCAGCCTCCTGGGGAAACTCCTTCTTTGGACTTAAGCATCGCCCTCCCTCTCTGCGTGTTTCCTTTTTGCTACAAGGTATCCTGAGAGTGGTGGGCATGGAGGCCTAGGGGGAACTACTAAATCCGATACTTTTATTTTTGACAAGATCCTGGCTCCAGGGAGTGGGGAGGTGGAAGTGGAGAAATAGAAGATAAAACAGATTCCAAGTTTTATGTCGGTAAAATGCCTAGTGGTATATCCAAGAGCTGGAGGGAGCCCCTGGGCACCTTTGAGACTGAGTTTGTGGGCAGTGAAAATGCCAGTGGGGAGTTGCAGGGTTTCCTGGACAGGAGCTGGCAATGCAATTGTGGTGGCCTCTGAACTTTGGCCACCTTTAGGCAACTATGTTGGGATAGTGGTGAGGACCGTGTGTGGCCAGGTAGAGCAGGTACTGTCCCAGGATCTTAGCATGGCAAGTGCCTAACAAGCATCTTGGGAGAAGGGAGAAGCCAGGAAGCCAGATGGTACAGGCTAGGGCAGTCTCCTTTGTAGCTCTGGCTGACAGGGCAGTCCAAGGACACCCTTGCTCAGATATGCCCACAAACCCCATCCTAGGGCCTCCTCGTACAGTAGTTTTCTGTTCTGCAAAGTCAGGGGGTTGGAGCACTGGTTTTTTAAATCTAATGTGCAGGGAAGTATGCATTCTCATGCTATGTGACTGCTTGGAGAAGGTGGCCTGGATTGGCCTTGGGGAATGCAAGGTCACAGTGAGAGACAGGGCCTGTAGTCTTCATATCCAGTGTGACTCCTAGGAGCCCAGGACCTTGTAAGCACAGTGAGGGCAGTGTGGTACAGGGTCTGATCTGCTAGTCTGAGTCACCTGGAGAATGGGTCTAGACTAGCAAGGACTGTGAGAGGTGGGCAAATCCTCAGGACACTGAAGCTGCAGTTTTGCATGGGGCTAGTCATGCAGTAGAAGGCGTGTTTTAAGAGAGAGCTACAGTAGGCCTGGATCAGCCCCAAAAGCTTTGCTGTGTTGGTTGGGAGAGGAGAGCAAGGTTGAGCACAAAGAGGACAGTGGCTTTCCTTCCCTGAAGATGAGTGTTTGCACACTTACTTGTACACACACACGCGCGCGCCTCACTCTTCTTCCACTCAGAACCCTGAGAAGCCTTTGACAGGAGCACCTACCCAGGCCACAGTCAGTTCCCATTCGCACTTTATACCTCCATCACCCAGGAGTCCATCTTGAAGCTGAGGTGGGGAGACCTCTGGAAAGCATTGCTCACAGATGTCTAAAGAAGCCAGATATATTTAGCCTGGCGATAAAGAGTTCCTGGGAGGTTAGGAGTAGTGTGTGGTAGAGCCAGAGGTGGCAGGCTGTGCCCTGCAGGTGAATATTAGCAGGCAGATCTGGCTGCAGATCAGTCAGTATTTATTTTAGGTATTTTTCTTATATCAATTGATTTTTGTCTCCACACCATCCCTATGAGGTAGGATGTTGTGATCCCAGTGTTATAGATGAGTTTGCTAAGGCTCAAATGGATTTAGTAGTTTGGCTAAAATCCCATAACTAATCTGATGTTGTTCATTGCAACCCTAGGTTATGGTTCCCAGGAGAATCAACTTTAAGTTATCAATTCAACTGTGAGTTATCAAACTCACAGAAGACAGATAAATCAGGATGCTGTGATTTAAGGGTGTCTCCCAAATTTCATGTGTTGAGAGGTGCAAATTTGGGGAGGTGATTGGGTCTGAGGGCTCTGTCCCTGTGAATGAATTACTCTATTCATGGATTAGTGGTTATCAGGGAGCGGCCTTGTATAAAAGAGAGAGGGAGAGAAAGAGAGAGTGCCAGCCCCCTCGCCATATTATGCCCTGCATTAGGTTATGATGCAGCAAGAAGCCCTCAGCAGATGCCCTCAAGTATGGAGTTTTGAGGCTCTAGACCTATAAAAAATAAACGTCTTTTCTTTGCAAATTGCTCAGTCTCAGATATTCTATTACAGAAACAGAAGTGGACTAAGACACAGATTAAGCCAATTGCTTCAATGAAAAATAGAACTGACAATCAAACTGGAAATAAATGGTGGCCAGTTAAGTCTTCGGCCACCTGTCTTGTTTGTTTTGTACTGCTATACCAGAACACCTGACAGGGCAATTTATAAAGAACAAAGATTTATTTCACAGTTTTGGGAGATCACAAGTCTAAGATCAAGGGGCCGGGATCTGGCTCTTGTGGAAGGGGGAAGGGCAAGAGAGAAAGAGCAAGGGGCTGAACTCAGCCTTTTACCAGGAAATGATCTCAAGGTCATTAACCCACTCCCACAACAGTGGCATCAGTCTGTTCTTGGCCTGATGACATCATAAAGTTTCCACCTCTCAACACTCGAGTTAGGGGTGAGGTGTCCAACACATGGACTTGGGGGTCACACACCATAGCACCACCTGCAGTGGAATCTGCACGGGAAGCCTGGTCCTGACACAGAGCTGCTTGGGGAGCATGCAGGTCCGCTCCAGTGCAGAGCTGGAGTGGCCAAAGTGTCCACTGCCATTCAGGAAGAGCTCTGCAATGCAGGCAGAGCATGCGTGCTGCCTGGTCAAGGCCAGGGACACTCAGACCCTTGGGTTTGTGAGACAGTGCCACTCTGTTGGCACGCCTTCTCTTCAGGCAGCATGCATTGCTGTTGACCTGTCTCCACCTATTTTGTGCTCCTCCAGTCCCCCGAAAGGTCCACATGCAACACCTGTACACTCCTGACACTGTTGGGCGACACGTTGCTGTGCCACTGCTCTGGTTATTCCTTCAGGTGGTTAACTGTTCCCACTTGCTTTAACTTCAGCAGTGAGACAGTTGGACTGCAAATAGGGGCTTCCAGCCTTCTTGACTCTGTGACCCCTCTTTTTAACTTCCCCAGTCCCCACATGGTGGTATTCTCAGTGCATTAGGTTGTAGTTTTTTCACATACTTTAAATTAAATCCATATTACTTTTAAAGGACATGCATGTTGGCCGTCACAGCATCTGTACCTTTAAACTTAATAATCAAGGAATATAGGTAAAATGTGCCTGCTCAGTCCATAGGTGGCATTTATGTCCATTTGGACCCTAGGCCTATTGTGACAAGTCTGAAGCTCCCAGCAGCCTTCATTAGTTGGATACTGACTTGCTTTGATGACCTTTTGGCCCTGTCCCACTCTGCGATCCCCCATGGTTCCCAAGCCCTGGCTGGGTAGGTCTCTAGGAGGAAGAGGGAGTGCAGAGAGGCCCAGCAGATGGAGGGGAGGACTGAGGAGTGATGGGCCCAACACAGTGGGGCATGAGGTGGCCAAGTAATGGAGCCCTGTGCTGGGGTCCCCAGGAGCATCCAGGGCTCAGGAATCCCTAGGAGGACAAGCAGGTCGACAGGCTCACACCTGATTCATTACAGTGGGAGGACACAGCAGGCTCAGCAGTAGCAGGGCACAGGAGTGAGGTCAGTGGAAACTGGCGGATGGTTTCCCAGGGGCCTCCTCCAGATGCACCTGACACCGGATGCACTTCATTCTTCCTGCATGGCATTGTGACAAGCCGTGCGTTAAGTTGTGCATCTAGGCCGTCACTAGAGAGACTGTCTAGCTGGGTTTGTGGATGGTGCCCACAGCACCAGGGGGTGTGACTGCATGGTGCTAGCTGTCAGCTGTCAGGGTGACAGGCAGGGGAATACAGTGAGTGAGTGACAAGGCTGCCAGTTAGTAGCTGTGATGGTTTTTAAAATCACTGAGTAGATGAAAAAAGACAGAAGCTGTTTTCTTTGCTTTACAAGTGTCTTCATTTTCTTTATAATTTCTTTCTTACAAATCATAATTCGCCTTCATTTCTGAACCAGAAGGACACTTCTCAGAACTTACATTTTGCTTAATTTATACAAAGTTCATTTTTGCCTTAACTTTAAATTCTTTCCTGTCCATTTTCTGGGTGTCATGGTTGTTTTAAAATCTACTGAATGACAAATTTTAAAGAAACTAAGACAGAAGGGTTGCTTTTGCCTTAAAAAGCCACAGGGTAGCCGAAGATGAGCGTGGAAGGTGTAGAAATCGGATGAGTACTGGGTGTGTAAGAACTCCATTTCCAGAGCTGTCCAGGGTTCTGGGGTTTCTTCTGGGTACTTCTCTAAGAAAGGCACAGTGTCTAATAGACTCCCATCCCCAAGGAAGAGAGGGTGAAACAGAGGTCTGGGGTAGGGAGCGTGGCGAGGTGAGGACAGCTGCACTACAGCCTGGAGTGTCACTGGACAGGGGTCCAAGGAGGTCTCTCCAAGGGGACAGTAGGATCTTAACTTAGCCCCAGTAGGTTCTTCACTGTGCTGCTAAAAAGAACAGGACTGTCAGAAGCCAGGCACAGGGAGAGGTGTGGACGCCTCTCACCTGGGACTGGGGCTCGCCCAGGGTTGAGCTCTCTGAGTCAGGATTTTCCTGGGAAGAGAAGTGCAGATTCCCAGGCAAGCTTCCTCGAAAATCAAATCCCATGTCAATCATTTGATATATGGGTTCAGAATGATTCTTCTTGGTTAAGCATTCTAGCCATAAATCAGTTGTGGGCTCATCGTGTGGGTCTTTGAATCTAGTGATGTTTACATTGATGATGTTTCTGTTCTGGTTGACCTGATGCAAACATGCGCTGGAGGTTTTGTTCACCTGACTAAAGAGATAGTTTGACTGGTTCTGCTCGTACACCTGGGCCGCTGTCTAGTAAGGGTCTCTTTATCTGTCTCCTGGAGAGTCTACCTATGCAGAAGGGCTTCGTGGGCATCGCCTCATGGAGTCAGTGCCTGTGTACTGCAGGACGTGGAAAGTGAGGCAGGCTGTGCCTGGCAGAGCTGGGAGCTGGACTCAGCCTGGCAGCAGAGGGTCTGTGGAAGAGCTGTGCCCATAAGATTGGAATCTGAAGGTCAAGGACTTAAACACAAGTCAGAGGGGTCACAGGCTACTAGAGTGGCCTAGGGAGGGGGTCAAACTTTGTTTGATTCCTGAGTGTTGTAGCATCCCTGCTAAAAAAAAAAAAAAACAACTTTTTTTTTTCTTAATTATATAGATGTGCATCCCTATCCCTAATAAAAAATCCTGAAATCTAAAATGCTCCCAAATCCAAAACTTATGAGCATCATGCTACATGTGGAGAATCCCACACCTGAGCTCGTGTACCAGGTCACAGTCAAAAGGCAGGCACATTAAAAAATACCTTCAGGCCATGTGTATAAAATGCGTAGGAAACATAAATGAATTTCAGGTTTATATTTGGGTCCTGTCCCAAGTCTGTCTCATTATGTAGAAGCAAATATTCCCAAACTGGAAATCCAAAAGACTTTTCTGGTCCCACGTGTTTGAGATAAGGGATCCTCACCCTTGATAACTAATTGGTTTTATCAGCCAACTCTTTTTTATTTTAATCCTCAGCACTAGGATCTCAGGCCTTCACATTCTCAGGGAAGTGTGCTTATTAACTCAGAGAATCTCACAAGGTGAAGTCCAGGCTGGCCAGAGTTCTCATCCCAGGGTTGACTTTTGTGGGGCCTAGGGACTGGGTGACATGAGACTGTTGTAGTTTCCTGGGCTGCTGTGACAGAGCCACAGACCCAGGTCTTAAAGCAATAGAGCTTCATTCCTTCTGAGTCTGGAAGCCTGGAACTGAGATATCCATAGCTGCACTCCCTCTGCAGGTTTGAGAGCAGGCTCTTTTCTTGCCTCTCCCAGATCCTAGGGACCCAGGCTTTCCTTGGCTTGTGGCTGTCACTGCAGTATCTTTTCCATCTTCATATGGCCTCCTCCCCTCAGGGTCTGTCTCTGTGTCTCTTCTCTTTTTATACAGACACAAGTCACCTGGTTTAAAGGATCACGGTACTTGTGTGACTTCTCTTAACTAGTTACACCTGCAGTGACTCTATTTCCAAGTGAAGTTACATGCACCGATTTGGAGATTAGAGCTTCAACAAGTCCTGCTGGGGACCCAGCTGACTGCCAGCACCGTCTCTAGCCAATTCTTGTTGCTTCTGGTATCAGGTCCCACCCACCCACTGCTCCCGCTCCATCCCCATGTTCTCCCAGAGACGTGTGCAGGGCACTGAGCTGGGGGGCAGCTGGGCTGGCCCTGCTGGCAGGACTGCCAACATTCCCCAACCACCCTCAGGTGCCCATCAGCTTCATGGACTTGGCCGTGCGGTTCTCCGAGGAGGAATGGAGGCTGCTGGAGGAGCGGCAGCGGGAGTTCTACCGAGACGTGATGCGGGAGAACTACGAGACGCTGGTCTCCGTGGGTATGCCTCCACTGGCCTCCCTGGGGTGCAGGCGGCGAGTGCCAACTGAGAATGGAATTGGGGAGGCTGGAGTCCAGGAGGCCCCAGGACTGTAGGACCCCGGGCCCTCCAGGCCTTAGTCTTCTCATCTACGAAAGGAACAGTTTTAGGGGCCTCCTGAAAGCTGGGTGCTGGGCCGGGCCTCCCTGTTCCCGCTGGGTACCATTTGGTGAGGTCTGCAGTGACTGTTAGGTTCTGCTGCTCTGGTTCTTTGAGTGTGGGTGGCCCCACCAACATGCACAGAGATACTTGCACAGTATGTGGGGTGCCTGGGCCACAACTCGATTCTGGGACGGAGAGACCATTCTGTTTCCAGGGTGACTGTCCTTGCTTTTCTCCCCAGGGACAGATGAGCTGCTTCCCCTTTCTGCTTTTCTGTCACCTACGGAGCCTGGAGCAGCTATGGGAGGAGGGAGTCACGGTGATGAGGGGCAGGAGCCTCCTGTAAAGGGAAGCCCCCAGGGTAAGTCCTCTGGGCAGACTCTGGGCTCCCCCTCTTACTCATGGTCCTCAGGTGACACTGTGACCTCAACATGCTTAATTTAGCCCTCCCTACTGCAGCCCTCCCTGGCTTTGACCTGTCACTGCTCTGGACTAGGAGCATGTTACATATGGTCCATTCCACCGAGCAGTGCCAGAAGAACCTGGGGTCACCCTGGAGAGCACACCCACCTTAGGCCTGCTCCTGCCTCCAGCGGAACCCTTATCCCTGCCGTCCCTGCAGAGCCAGCCTGCGGCTCCTCTGATGGTAGACTTGCTCCACAGGGCCCAGATTGAGCAAGGCCGGGAGTTTAGGGGATTCCAGGAAAGGCAGAGGGCTAGCTGGTGGGGACAGCCCTGCTTGACATTCCCTTAAGAAAGGAGACAGGTGTAGGAGACCCCTGTGTCCCTATGCACACTGCTCCCCCCTGATCCTGGCTGCTCCTCCTGTGGTCGGGAGGGCTGCCTGAGGGACAGGTGCTGAGCAGACAGGGGCGCGGGGATCACTGTGGCCCTCCACAGGAAGACAGCCTCGGCACAGCCTGCACCTCACCGCCCTGGTGCAGTTGGTGAAGGGGATCCCAGAGTTCTTGTTCCGGGAAGTCAAGGGCACTGAGGACAGCCCTGAGAGCAGGGGAACCAGCCTGGATGGAGAAAGAGCGAGCCCTGAGGGTAAGTCAGCCAGCCAGGCCGGTCTCTGTGGCGCTCACAGCTCCTCCACAAGGTGAAGTCCAAGTCCACACCCTGGGCCCAGTGTGCCGCCCAGCTCCTCTCCACTCCTGCAGGGAGGCAGTCGCCAGTGGCTGTGTGCCAGCCCCTGGCTGTGTGCCTGGCCTCTGAGCTCTTGGGTGCGGTGAGCGCAGAGCAGCTTGGGCTTCTCACCTTGGCCCCAACCTGTGCCTTGGGCCCTGCGTGGTAGGTGAGCTGTGTTTATTGATGTCCTGCAGATGAGGGAGGGAGGGAGGCTGAGCCTTCTGAGTGGCCAGTGAGGCCCAGGTCACTTCCCAGTCAGTGCTGTTTCCACCTCTCCAGGCATCTGTCCTCCCCCTGGTCCCTGCTCACACACCTCAGGCCCCACCTCCCCACTCAGCTGGTGACAGATGAGAATGGAGTGAGCAGAGGCTGGAGGAGTGCAGCCTCGTCAGTGCGTGACCAGGGCTGTAATGTGGGGGTCAGCTTAGTGACAGCGGTGCCTAGGTCCCTGGTGTCCTGGCCATTGTTAGTGGAGCATGGCAAGGAAGGACCCCGGTGGTGACAGTGGCAGGAGCACCTTGGCATTAGTGTCTTCTCCCCCTCAACAGTGACCATGGAAGTGGAGTCTTGCCCTCCCCCAGGTCTGCTCAGCTGCCTTCCGGACAGCCCTGTGAGCCAGCCCAGCCTGGCCACTACACCGACCAGCAGTTCGTCCTCCAGTGGCCCGCCTGGAGATGGGGGGCCCGGAAGACCCCTCCTCATCAGTGAGTCTAATCCAGCAACGATGGGGACCATCAATACTTCAAGGTCCTCAACCCTGGAGTCAGGGAACTTGAACCCTCACCCTCTTTGTTTTCTCTGGGATTCAGTCTCCTCTGCTGCTGAGTGGGGGCGAAGGTCCCAGAGAGCAGGGCAGCATACTTTGCTTCTGGTCAGGAGACCAAATGGGAGGGGCGCAATGCCTGGTTCCCTGGAGGCCTCTCATCCACCCCTTATTGCTGAGGACCATGTGCATGTACACAGGCAGTTTCTGCCACAGGGCCCAGCAGGTAACTCACCTGTGTGCACCTCTTCTGACTCTCAGACCGTCTAATATCAAAGCCTAACCTCAGAGAAGGCCACAGTAGCCCTAGAATTTCTCTGGGGTCTCATTGTACCTTTAAAAATTCTTGCAAATTTTGCATTTGTCTAAATATCTTTTTATTAGAATATTTTGAAGTAATATGGAATAAGATTGGCATTCCCAGGGCTGGGGTTGAGGCTCAGTAGTAAAGCATTCGCCTAGCATGTGCAGGGTCCTGGGTTTGATCCTCAGCACCACATAAAAATAAATAAAAGAAAAGAAAGAAAATAAAGGTATGGTGTCCAAATACAACTAAAAAATAAATATTAAAAAAAAAAAAAAAAGATTGGCATTCCCCAAAACACAGCCTGCTTAGCCTCTGATTTCAGGTGTCATCCACCCACATGCCCTGACATTCCATGTGCCCTGATTTGAAAAGCACAAGTGTGAGAGTGGGGTCAGTGTGTTGAAGCTGCAGACATTACTTGCTGAGCGGTGTTCAGAGGCTGAGGTCTGGAGGAAGTGTCCGGGCTTGTTCGAGTGAACCGTCTTGGTATTTACAGTTGAACTAGAAGGAAACAGGGAAAGGTCCCCAGCCCTCCTGGAACAGGTCCTCCAAAGCTAGCTTCTGGGACTTGTCTGCCCCCAGGGAGTTGAGGAACTAGAGGCGTCTCTCCTCGTGGTGACTGGATCTGGTTGATCCCAAAGTGGAGCCCAGGCTAGAAAGGCCTTCCTTGTCTTCTGCAACAGAAACTGTGGACAAACCATGGCCAACAGGAAGGGGAGGCCCAGGAACGCCTGCTGAGGAGCTGAGCCCTCCCACCTGCAGCTCTGGCCAGAGGAAGAACCACCAAATCCAGGAGAGAGGGACCTCAAGGACTGGTGAGACTCTGGCTTTCCTGGGGATGAGATCAGGCCTGCCCTGGAGCTGAGTGGGCTACAGGGGAATAGTCAGTTTAGTCTTGTAGCAGCCTCAGTGGGCAGGCCTCGTCTGTTCACATGGGTGATTCTCAGCTGCCCAGAGATCCCAGTGACTGTAGAAGGTCTTATGTTGCCCTGTCAGGACTACAGTGACCTCAGTGACCTTGTCTGTGTGCAGGAATCTCTCCTGGGAATAGCCCCTTGCAAGGCCTCATCAACTGTCTGAAAGAAATCCTTGTGCCTGGGCCCCAGAATGCTGAGGCAGCACCAAACTTACTACCTGCTGTCCCTCTCCTGGGTGCATCAAGGTTGACCACGGTGAAGCCGGGGCCAGCAAGCCCACCCTGGCCAGGTGAGTCCTTGGGCATCTGATGCCCTCAGGCCAAGGGCTCCAAAGTGCCTGGAAAGCCATTCTGTAGCTATTTCTCTGTTCCACACTGTCTCCCTTGAGGATCATTACTAACCTGGCTGCTCCTGTATTCCCAATGTCATGTGACTGAAACCAGGTGGTTGTGTGTGTGTGTATGTGTGTGTGTGTGTGTGTGTGTGTGTGTGTGGTGCTGGGGATTAGAACCCAAGACCTTGTGCATGAAAGGCAAGCATTCTACCAACTGAGCCGTATCCCCAGCCCCAGGTGACTCTTAAAGAAGCATTAGGATAGGAAAAAAAACTCAGAAGCACGCATGCTGCCCTGGTTGCTCTTTGTTCTTCACTTTTCCTAACCTGGGACTCAGGAGAAGAGCCACAGCGCTCAAGTGTTACTTCCTGTTGACGCTTGGTGAGGTGCTCAGAGTGGCCCCAGTCTGGACAGCCAGGGGGGCAGGAGCGCTGGTCTGGAGTGACACTTTATTATGTCTTTTATTTTTTCTCTTTAAATACTGCCTGCATGTTATTTTATTTTTTGTTAAGTTTTATTTTTCTTTTTTAATTTTTTGGTTCTTTTTAGTTATACATGACAATACAATCTGTTTTAAAGGCTGCTGCAGCTTTGGTCCTTGGTTCACTCCACGGGGTCCGGGCGGGGTTAACTTCAACAGTGTGCCTCTTACACGCACTGTGTGTGTCACAGCCCCTTCAAAGTAGGCTGCGCTTGGGACCAGGGCACTGTCCAGTGCCCCGCCTCCTTCACTCTGCCTCTGAGTGCCTCTCCGTTCTCACCTGTCCTGTTCTGGGAGGGATGGTTGATAGGCATTTTTAAATTGGGCACCAAAATAACAGTGACTTAAACAAGACTAAATGAGGCATGGGAAGACCTGACTCACATCTGCAGATTTCTGGCCCTGTATCCTCACTGCACACTGGATGGATCCTGTCTGGTGTGAGGACTGGACTCTGGGCTCTGGTGGACATGTGTGCCTTTTTTCTTAGTGAAGACTGAGTCACCTTCGGGGGATCCTCCTCTCCAGGGTCTGCTGAACTGTCTGAAGGAGATCCCAGAGGCCCAGGACAGGTGTCCCAACCCCTCAGGAGCAGGGGACCTGCTGCTACAAGAGGATCCAGGGACCTTGAATAAGAATTCTGAAGGTAAAGGCCACCTGCTGAGCTGGGGAGGGAAGGAGCTGCCACAAGCAGGGCAGTGGGTGACCTTCCGCAACAAAGCACACAGGCCTCAGTCAGAGGGCCTGATACTGAGCACCATCGCTCTGCAAATGGAGCAAGGCACAGAGGAGGTGCCTAATCATTCTTGATCATTTCCCAGACTGGCTTTCATAGAACGAAGTAAAAGTTCAGAAGGAAGGAAGGGATGGTGGGGCAGGAAGCCAAAACATAGAAGCTGGAGTTGTAGCCCAATAGACCCTCAAGCCGTAATTGTGATTTGGGGTTCCTGGCAGTAGGTGGTGTGACTAGGATTTGGCCTGGCCTCAGATTGTCTGGTCTGGTAGTAGGACTGGGGCTTGGAGTACCCATCAGGTGTGTTTAGACTGGGTGGTTTGTCTGGCCAAGGAGAAAGATCTGATTTGGTGCTAACTGGACAGAGCTGACTTAATCCTTCTTTAGAAAGCTTCAGAGCAACCCAAAGGGACTTTGATGGAAGTAGGAATGTGACTTTGGTCTGTGCTGGCGATTAAGAAGTGACTGTACCCAGGCACAGTGACTGTTGTGGATGCAGAGGGGCCATAGAAGCCCCACCTCACCTCACAAAACCTGGGGTGAGTCCAGTCCTAAAACCTGGGCTGCCTGGTGACCTCCTTCACACAGGGTCCAGACACCTCCAGACCCCTCCTTCCTGCCCTGGTACCGAAGCTGGCAGCTCATTCACTGTGGTCAAGGTAGAGGACAGCTGGTCCCAGAGCCACTTGGAGCCTGTGTCCTGCCAGCTTGGTAGGCAGGGTCATAGCCTCTCTGCTACCAGAGACACCAAAGGGATCGGAACACACTGCTGGGGCCCCACAGCTCAAGGTAAGGCCTGGGATTGTCTTACCTTGTCTCCGTGGGACTGCGCTCAGAGAAGCTCCCAAAGCCCAGGAAACCTGCCTGTCCCTTGGGCAGGGAACTTGTCCCTGGGCTTCCTTCCCAAACAGTGACCTCAGTCCATGTCCTCAACCCAGGCCTTGCCCCAGCAGCCCTCTGGCTCAGTAAGGACCTTCATTGTGCCCTGAGGTCCTGCCTGAGGAAGATGGCCACTGCAGGCAGGTGGTTTTCCCTATCTCTGTCCTCAAGGCCAGGGACACCTTCATTCCCTCCGGAGAAGCAGAGAGAGGATCGAAGTACCCTCCAGGAGGGTCTGCTGCCCGGCAGGTCCCAGAGCTGGTGTAAGACTCATCAGCCCTGTAAGAGGCAGGCCAGGGGCAGCCAGCCAGGGACCAAGCCAGGGCCCGACAGGCAGGGCAAGGACCTGTGAGGGACGATGACAGTGTTCTCTCCTTTCCCAGCCAGCAGGGCCTCAAGCTCACCACTGGCAGCTCTGGAGGCCTGTCTGAAAGGCATTCCCCCAGGTGGGTCATCACCACTCCGGACACTGGCCACCTCTGTGTCCCAGCGGTCAGAGCTGCAGTCTCAAGGATCACACAGTGAAGGTAGACTGTGTAGTGGGCCTGGGGTAGCCTGTCACCATGCACACGGTGGAGAGAGACACCAAGGCCTCTGTTAGCTGTCCTCTCCAGCTTTCTGAAGCATGTACCTTCTTCCCACTGCCCTCTTCCGGGCCTGGCTCCAGGCAGCTCTCCAGCTTTGGTAGCACAGTTACAAGTCTTCTTGCCCTCTTCTTCTTGGAGAACTTTTTTTTAGTTAGGAGATGAAATGTGGGGTTTGGGGATTTGCATCTGTGCCATGGGAAACCCTGGAGAGAGAGACCTCAAGGCAGGGTCTCCTGGTGCCATCTACTCCATGGCCCAGGGGCCTCTTCTCCAGCAGGCTCTGCTGTGACCTGAAAAATGCTGTTTCCCGCAGAGGCCACCAAGGAGCCACCTCTGCCTCTGGGCCTGCAGGGCTATGTGAGAGAGAGTCTGGCTCAACCCTCAGGCTCCCGAGGCACCCCCACCAGCTTTTCCTCAGCCTGCAGCACCGATGGGGACCTGGATTTTGGGAGTCCTGGGGGGAGCCAGGGACAGCGGCCTGGAAAAGGTGAGCTACCAACCCTCTGGGACAAGATGTCATACAAGGCCCCTGCCCATCAAGGTCTCTGGCCCAGTCAGGTCATCAGCCCTGTGCCAGAGCAGAGATGGGGACATTGAGGCAGGAATGGACTTGTCTTGGACAGGGTGGGAGCAGGGGTCCATTTTAGTGACTTGGTCCAGAAAGACAGGTAGTATATTCAATTTTCCTATTGAGTTAAACTCTTCATTGTCCCAGCCACAAAGATATGCGAGACTGGCCTCCAGCTTAGGGGAAAGTATAGTATGCTTTGAATAAACCAGCTTCAGAGGTGTGCTTGGGGACCTGTGCCTCCCTGGGTCTCTCTGGGAGACTCATTCCTGGGGACTTGGGGCATTGGGGTCTTCCAGTGCTTCTGAGCATCCCTTTAGCCTCTTCCCCACCTGAATAATCCAAGTACTCTTGGCCTGTCTGTGTCCCATGGGTGCACACCGGGTACCTGCTTGTATCTGTGTCCTGGCTCCATCTCTAGTTAATAGAAAGGCCTAGAACTACAGCCTGGACTCTGGCTGGGCCATGCAGGCCTTCTTCTCAGTGCCTGAGTCCCCCGGAGGAACCCCTTGGGTGTGGGGCTTTTTGCCTGAAACGCAGCTGACTTGGCTTAATTTTTAGTTACTAATGGGTAATGAAATCAAATGTTTTTGTTCAAAAGCTACAGAAAGTTATATGGGAAAAGTAAAGTCTCTCTCTTTCCCCGCCCCACAGTCCCCATTGTGCCTCCCACAACCACCACTGAATCTGACCACCCTCCAGAGACACCTGCCATGACCAGCTTCTGTCTCCTCATGTGGACAGTGGCATTCCAGGAAGGTCCCCACCTTGCTTTTCATCTAAACATCTGCCATTGGCATGTTTCTACATTCTGTCCTGCTAACCCTTGGCCACCAAAACCACTTCATCTTGTGTCAGGGCAGAGTGTCCTGGGGTGCACTTCTTTTTCATGTGTCCTCTGCAGATAGACATGGGTTCTAAGTAACCCAAATGGAGGGGCCTTCACGCTGCCCTTCAGGAGCTTCTGGCGCAGCCCCCAGAACCAGCAAACACCCTCTGGTAGCTCATACTCTGCCCTCCACATGCATGTGGCTTTTGGTTCTAAACTGCGCCTGGGCCCAGAATTATCAGCACATGTCCCTCAGGGAGGAATGTGGACAGTACTGTCTGCTTGCCTGGAAAGGGGTCTTCCCTCTAGAATTCCAGCTCAGCTCCTTCCCATTGCTGGCACAACTCCATCACTAGGATACAATTTTTACAATGTATTTGTTTTCTCAAGTGGCCTGTGGCCTGCCATATGCAGAGGACAGGAAGCCTGCGGGGTTGCCTTCTTTTGAGTAATAAAGGAAGCCTTACTCACAGTCCTTAGGGCCACCTGGTGTGTTGCCATCCCTCACCATGGTGGCAGCTGGGTGCACTGAGGGAGCCTAGAACCACACCTGTGGCCAGGCTCCCCATTACTTCCTTCTTCCACCCTGGGTAGGCTTCTGTGAAGGTGGCCAAGGAGACAGGTCAGGCTTCTTACTTATAAGGCAGCCTGGACAGGGCCACCCCAAGCCAGGGCTGATAGATATTTGGGGCCAGGTCTCCATCCAGGGCCCTGAACTACCACAACACGTCCAAAGCTCTGTGCCTCTTCTGATGGCCCCTAGCCCTGGACGCTGCAGAAGAGGCAAGGCTCCAGTCACCCAAGAGGGCCAATGTTGGATCTTCACAGGATGCCTGCCAGGAAGCTCCCCACTCCAGGGGCTGGAGAACTGTCTCAAAGAGCTGCCGGTACCCAGGCAGCAGCCTGCCCGGGCTTGCTTCTCAGCAGCAGACAGGGAGCCCAGGAGAGTGGAACCTAAGAATTGGATGGCGTACAAGGAAGGTAACTCAGTGGTGGCCCTGGTACCTGAGAGTGGGGCTGGACAGCTTCTGTACCTTTGGCCTGGGCATGGCTGCCCCCAACTGTCTTGGGCCAGATCCACTTGAGCCAAGAAGATACTCTGGAAACAGCCAGGACAGAGGCTTGTTCTGAGGCCAGAAAGCCAGGTGGTCTGTTGAGCACACATACAGTCTCACTATCGAATGAGCGTGGGCAGAGTCCAGGACACGGACACCCTGGCCGCTATCCACTGCTGCACCACACAGGCCTGAGCAGGAACCCTGTCCGCTGAGCATCTTCATCCTGGCAAGCGAGCCCCACGTGGCATCTGAGGGCTCCCAGGAGTCCTTAGAGCTGGGTCCCTGAATAAAGAGATGCTGGAGGATCTGAACAGGCTCTCGTGGGCACCACTTCCCCACCCCATCTGAGACAGGCGGAGTGGGTGATCCCTTAAATTTGTGTGCCTGAGAGCCCCACAGTGGGCGGAATTCTCTGTCTATGCTTCTGTGGTAGCACAAGGCCCCACAGGGCTCACAGCCATTTTGGCTTCTCATTAAAACAGGACTGAGGGGTGAGGCCTCTGAGTCATCCTGCCTCAGACAGGGTGGAGAAGTGCCTGCTGGGAGCCTGCATCTGACCAGCCCACAGGCATTCACCTCCAGCTGCATCCGCACCTGCCACCAAGGGTTCAAAGAACAGGGGACCATCAGGCCGGAGCCATGGAAATGGCTGCAAGATGGTAAGCTGCCTCCAGTGTTACTGGCATGTTTTTCCTCCTTCCTTCTCTCTCATCCCTTCCCCAGAAGATGGAAGCAAGAGCCAGGCAGAAACTGAAATTGGTAAAAGAAAAAGATAAAGTGACCTAGTGCTGAGATCAGGGTGGGAAGACCATTGTTCTGTGCAGCCATCTGGTGGGCAAGAGCCCCCTTCCACCTGCTCTGTCCAGATAGATCCTTCTGGCAGCCTCCTGCAGGTCTGCAGGGGCAGGAGGATGGCTCAGCAGGTCCTGTGGCTTTTCTTATCCTCCTGCCCTTGCCAGCTGCTGGTCTCTGTGGTGCAGGGTAGAGGGACATAGACTGTGAGAGGCTACAGGACTCGTAGACCCAGGGCTTGGCAAGAACCTGACCACAGTGGCTTCTAGGGACTTGACACTTGTGGAAAGTTCCCCAACTGGCCTTCCGGAGCAGCCAGGGACATGGCCAGGCTTTGACTTCTCCATATGAGCTGGGGACTGAACCATGAGGGACCTGGTCATGAACCTGGTCATCAGGGCAAACTCCTAGCTGCCATCAGGTGATAGCCAGGTGGCTCTCTTGTCATCTGCATAGGGGCAGCCCCCAGGCCCTCCCCACTGCACTGTCTAGAGACCTCTCTGAGGGGGATCTTGCCTGTGAGGCCCTTGCGCTTCGCCTGCTTGGTGGGCCCTGGCCCTGGCCCTGGCCCCAGCCCCAGCCCTGGCGCCAGCTCAAGCCTCAGCAGCTCTGATGAAGATGCACGGATGGAACCCGAGCCCTGGCGGCCACCCCTTCAGGGTGAGTCTGCTGGGGCACGGGGCAGGGGTGACCATGAGCTGCTCTCCAGGATACTGGTCAGTGCTCTGATGCCAGCTTTGTTTGTGACAGAGATAGAGCACCTTCGCAGCTGCAAGCATCCAGTTCCTCTGTCCCCTGGCCCTGGCAGGTCCCCCAGAGGCAACAGTGGCAGCAGCCCTCGTGATGGGCCTGAAAGAAGAGAGCTTGAGGACCGCAGTGGCCTTGGTGCAGGTGAGCCTGAGTCCCTGCATGCATCCACGTGTCCCCACAGGGCCCGGGGTCCAGACTGAGTTCTCCAAGCCCCCTTGTTACTCTGCCTGGGGACAGAAAGTCCTCTACATTTGTGCCTGTAAGGGAAGCTGAGGCGGGAGAAGTTGGGGCCCTTGAGCAGGGTACCCAGAGCAGGGCTTGCGCGTGACTGGAGGCAGGATTCTTGGCAAGCCACTCGATGACACATACTTAATACTATATGTGCACAATAGGTATGAGTGTGTTTACAAAATGATAACATTGTCGTCGTGTAACTTTTTGAAAACTTGGCAGTCAACAAAAGAAACATCAAAAGCAAAAATTCTTGGAGGTTGTCCTGTCAAGAAAGTTAGAAATGCCACCTGCTGCCCCCAGCCACCACTCTACCACCCAGGTTTGTGACCCAGTGTTTGCTCCCAGTAGGAAAAGCAGAAGGGACAGGAGACAAGCCCCGGTCACCCAGGAGAGAAGAGGCTGCAGAGAGTGCCTGCCTACCCATCCCTCTCAGCAGTGCCGCAGGAGGAGGAGGTAGGGCCAGGGAGTTAGTCAGGGGCCGGAGCTACTCCGTCCACAGGCCTCGGCCTCTGCCTTGCGCCCCTGCACACCACATTCCTCATTGCCCCATGGCCCTGCAGAAGATGTCAGGAGGACTTCTTGTGGTCCAGGGGATGCCCCCAGCACATCCTTGGGGTATCTTGCTGGGGGCAGGACCTACCTAATGGATCCCTGAGCATAAGGCGGGAGCTGCAGAGGACACTGAGACACTCCAGCACAGCCCTCCTGCTGGGAACAGGGCAGGGGCTGCACACCAGGGCCTTTACTCATGTGCCCATTTCACCAGAGCCAGGGTCCCTGACGGGCCCAGTGTCCATCTTGTATCTCATTTAATCCTTGTTTAAAAGTGGAAAGCTCGATTTTTTTTTTTTCCCCACATTTCAACATCCTCATGTCAGAGTGGCTCTGGCAAAATTACATGTGTCCCTGTCCCAAGTGCCCTGTGCTCTTTCCACAGAGGCAGCGGGGCATCCCTGGCCTGCCCCTCAGCTGGAAAAAAGGCCCAGTTCCGGGGGAGGTGAAGAACCCAGAAGCCAAGAGCCTGGATGTGGAAGGCACAGTGTTGCAGGTGAGCTTGGTGGCTTCCCGGTCCCCTCTGCACTGGCCAGGACCCCAGCCTCCAGTTCCAAGAAGAAAACACCCTCCCAAGTTTGTTGTGCAGGTTGTGGGCAGGGAAAGTCTGACCTATGAGCCACTCCTGGTGTCCATTTCGCTTCAGTGTCTCGTTACAGGAACTGAGAGGGTTTCCCAAGACCTCGTGCAGTGAAGAAATTGTCCTGAATCAAAATTTGGGGTTTGAGGGGACTTCAGAGAATAGATGAGGAAACAGTGACCAGCACTGTTGAGTGACCTGGCCAGGGTCATCCCAAAATCTTTGGTTCCAAGTCACACTTCTGAGGAGCCACAGTGAGACAGGCAGGAGGTCAAGTCACCTGTTCCCTGGGTCACGTTGGGGCAGCCTCATACCAGGGACTTGGGAGTGTGGCCTGGAGTGGGGGTGCACTCTGGGCTGGCCCCTGCCCTCCCTCAGGGCAGGGCCACGTCCTTACTTCAACTGAAGAACTAGACCAGACAGGGCTTGGGGCCTTGGGGCCTTGGACCACTCAAGCCATCACTCTGCTCCACCTGCAGCTCTGGGGTGCTGACAAGAGAAGGGCAGAGCCTTGGCTGGGGCGCAAGAACAGGGGTAGCAGTTCTGTCCACCCAGTCGGCCAAGTGCCTTAAGAAATGGCAGGGTCTGGCCTCGGGCTGCCTGCAAGGCTTACCTTGGGAGAGCCCAGCTCCAGGGGAATTGGGGGTAAAGGATTAGATGAGTTTTCTTTTGTGGAGGGATACTAGGGGATTAAACTCAGGGGTGCTTTACCACTGAGTAATACCCCCAGGCCTTTTTTATATTCTATTTAGAGACAAGGTTAGCCTTGCTAAGTTGCTGAGGTTGGCTTTGAACTTGAGATCCCCTGTCTCAGCCTCCTGAGCTACTGGGGATTACAGGTGTACACACTGCACCTGCTAGATTATTTTTTAATATAATTTAAGACATCAAAATCTCTCAATCTGTAACTTTTGAGTGAGGGGGGCATTTGTATCCAAGGGCACTGGGTATTGAGTGACCCCATTGGAAATATCCTAATGGTTCTCAGCTGGACTCCTGGCCCATCTCCTGGGTGCTCACCCTCAACCCTAGCCTTGTTCCATTGGGGCCTTCTCTGGGCCCTTCTCACTGACCCCCCAGGGCAGGGATAGGTGGAACATTTGGCCCTAGTGGTGGCAGAGGAACGCACCAATTTTTTTTTTTCCCCAGAAGTTGAAAGACCACTGTCCTGAGAAAGCTGGTCACCATGGAACCCGTGTCTGGCTGGTCCTACCCATCAGGGTGGGGAATGGCAGAAGATGGCAATTTGGCTGTAATGAGGCGTAGCACCCGTGTTCTCTAGCCCGAGGCAACTTCCTTCACTCTAGAAGCCAGGCTGAGAGCAGGCATGACACTGAACACTAGTGCAAGGGAACTGGGGGTCAAAAGCTCCTTACAGCACAGAAACTCTAACCTTGTCCTCACTCTGGTTTTAGCCAGGACCCAAAGGAGGCAGCTCCCCAGGGACCCACCTGAGCCACCCAGCAAGTGTCCCCTTCCGGCAGCTGTCTCACCGTTGTGGCCAGCTGCCTCCCCGCAGCCACCATGCCCCTGTGGGAGGCCCCTGCGACAGGAGCTGCACAGTCTTGGTGCTGCGCTCACAGAGAAGCTGGACCAGCTGGCCACAGCCCTGGCAGGACTGGCTCAAGAAGTAGCCACCATGAGGACCCAAGTGGATCGGCTGGGGAGGCGCCACCAGGGTCCTGGGCCAAAGCGCCAGGCTTCCTGGCCCTGGTCACTCCCCCGGGGGCCTCGCTGGGCCAATGGACTGGGTCACAGACACGTGCCCTACTGGAGGCAAAAGGGCCCTGCCAGACCTAAACCAAAGATCCTGCGGGTCCAAGCAGAAGGCTGCCGGACAGGTGACCCCCTGGGACTCCCCAGAGGGAGGGTCCACCTGGTGCCCCCTGATGCTCCCCCAGCAGAACCTTCCAGACCCAGACCCAGCCCATCCCAGCAGCCCCCCTCCATGGCACCCAACTGCCACACTGTGCTGACTGGGCACCCCCTTCTCGGACATCCTGGGTGCCAAGGCCCTCTCCCCACTTTTGTGCCTGCTGCCTTACCCCCCTGATGACTCTTGCAACAAGTGCAGACTTGGAGCCACTGCCTGCAGGGGCAGCACCAGTCAGGGTCCGAACCAGGCAGGGATCTTTGCAGCCTGCTGGGAGAGCCCTCCGGGGACCCTCTGGGGTGGTGAACACAGGAGCCCACGGTGAGGCCCCTCAGCAGCTCAGCTGTCTGAGGGTGCAGGGCAGCCTGGGTGCCCCTTGCCAGCCCCAGGCTGCCCTCTACCAGGATGGGCCTTCCTCCCCTGCTCTGCTGGCGTCCCCTTGCCAGACGCCCGCCCTTTGCCCTGGTTGTGCCAGCTCAGTGGCGTCTGCTCAGGAGGCTGCTGTGGGGTGCACTCCTCACTATGCCTCTGGTGTCTTGGCTCAGGTTCAGTCAGATGCTGCTCCCTCCTGTCCTCACGAGGACCATCCACACTCAGGTGGTGGTGTGTGCGCGCACAGAGCCGTGTATCGGGACCATGAGGCCCTTTCCCTGACCACCGCCCCTCCTGATCTTGGAGCCCAGCAGAGGGCTGGGCCCTTGCTTTCCTGGAGTAAATGCTGGCACATGTGGTTTTGAGAGAACTCTGCCCTGCAATCTAAGCTGGATGACCAGTGTGGGTTCTAAAGGATATTAGCTGCTGAGGAAGGGCCCTTGACTCCTATAGGAAGGCACTTGGTGGGGGCCCACACTGGGCTGGACTGGGCCCCCAGTACAGTGGGGACAATGCAGCTCAGCATCCCACATAATGCACCTCTGGAGACGCCAAGGCACCTTAGCAGTGCTGCTCCCTAGGGGCTAGCCTAGGGCTACCCAACAAGTGCACAGGCTGGCATTGCATGCCCGAAGCCTGAGCTCAGGATCCTCAGGGTTGGTTCTTTCTGCTGGCCACGAGGGCAGGTCTGTACCGGCCTCTGTATACAGGCACAGAGAGGTGCCGTCTTTGTATCTGCAGTGTCTCGTGCATCTCTGTCTCCGGGTACCTGCTTTGTGTCAGGGTGCCAGCTGTGTTGGGGAGGCCTGCCCTCAGAGCTCATTTCAACCTGATCACTTCTATAAAGACCCTCTCTTTAAGTAAGGCCTGAGGTCCTGAGCACAGGCTGGGACACCGGCCCATAACACACAAGGGAATGGGGTCAGTCTTGGGTTTGTCTTGGACACCAGTGGCATGACCACTGTCACTAAGCAGGCTCCTGCCCTGCTGGGTGGGACAGACCAGCTGTGGCCCCGTCGTGGACACTGGACAGTGCTCCAGTGCTGCCCGCCTCATCTCCAGAGCTGGGGCTCCACCCACATCCTCATTTAATCTGAAGAACGTCCAGGAACTGTGCCAATGCACACAGGGCCCTGGGGACCCTGGGTGCCCCTGCTGAAGCCCAAGGCCACGAGGGCCCTCTGTCCACAATGACCACGCAAGCTGCTTTGCCCAGTGTGTCCCTAAGGCGTGGGCCACTGGAGACAGCTGTGACCTGATGCCCCTCCAGGTCCTGCATGGGGCTCACCCCTCCTTGCTGCTGGCTGCCAGTGGTGTCTCAGCAGAGCAGCCCGGGGCCGAGACCACCAAAAGGGGCATTTAAGGTACTTACAGGACCAGAGCAAGTGCCGAGGTGATGGCGAGGAAGTCAGCACGCGTCAGATTGTGTAGGCAGGGTGTTGGCTGGAAGAGTGGCCTCTCCGCTGTGCTGACAGGACGGGAAAGTCCTCAGCTCCTGTTCCAGAGTAGCACTGGGCACTTTTCAGCACCAGCAGGCAGGGGTAGGACGCAGACTGGCTGGAGAGGTGTCCCACGTGGGTGGCCCTTGCCTGGAGGGAGGGAATTCTGTCCATCTGCTGAAACACGCCCTCTCCTCTCTTCTCTCCCTTCTAAGCAGGGGCAGCGGGAAGGGTCCCACTTTGAGTGGGACATCAAGGTGGTTTTTGTCCCCTGGGCTTTACAGACAGCACATGAGCCCTATGCCACAGGGGCAAAGGGACAGTTTGGCACATGAAATACTTGCTCAGGGTTGCAGCTGCCATTGGTAGAGCTGGGAAGAGTTAGCATTCTCATTGCTGCCCGGCACTTGGCCCCTCCTCCTTGGTGCGCCACCTCCTCCTGCCTGAGTCTGCCCCTGACAGGAGAGTCAGGACTGACCCAGCCCAGGTTGTCCAGGGCTCACCAGACTACTGTGGTCACCATGGGATGTGAATGGTTAAATGGTAGGAAGTTCCCTGATGGGCAGCTGTGTTCATCTTGCAGGAAGCAGGTCTCTAGCGTCTTCCATGATTGCTAGCTGAAGAGCCTTCTAGAGTCTGATTTGATGAGAGGCTATATACAATATAGGTATTTGGTGCTGTGTCCAGCTGCTGTGCAGGGGCTCTTTTGGAGAAGAAATGTAGCCACTTTGAGGAAAACAGGACCTTTCTGAGGGGCCTGGAGGTGGGGACAACGAAGGCTCCAGGTCTGCATGCCACCATCCTGGGAAGCAGCTCCCAGCTGGCCTGAGTGCAGGTCCTCCCTCCCTCCCCACCCAGCTCATGAGGGGCCCTCCGCCTACTCCATCTCCCCCTGCCAGCCCAGGCCCTCATGAGGCAGGAAAGTGGGAAGGTCCCACTCAGATGTGAGTAGGTTTCCCATGTCCCCACCTAAGCCACCCCTAAGTGTCCAGTGGAATTGGGGGAGAGAGTACAGGGACCACAGTTCACTGCCTGTCAACACCATGCAGTTCACTACTCCCTCCTAAAGGGGCCTCAAGCACTGGTAGCCAGATTGCTCTTGGGTTTGTTAATACCTTCTTAGATATTGATGAAGCTTTATTTTATTCATTTATTTATATGCGGTGCTGAGAATTGAACCCAGGGCCTTACACATGATACGCAAGTGCTCTACCCCTGAGCCACAAACCTAGCCCCGCCAGATTGCTCTTGACCTCACATCTCCATGTGTTAAATGTGCCTCCTATCAACCATCTACATGTGGATTTTATCTCATAATCCATCTTAAATGTTATTCTGGGACCCCTTAACCCATTTAAATGTAGCAATTACAGATAATACTTAGGATTGAATGTAGCATCATAGTGTGTGCCCTGTATTTACCCCACATGTTCAAGGGTTTTATTTTTGATGTTGTCATTTATTTGGGATTTTCTCTTCTCCTCCCCCTCATTCTTTTCCTCTTTCCTGTCAAGTTTGGATTGACAGTGTTGCTATGGGTCGGCGGTGGGGGCAGTTCTCATTCATTCCATTTTTCCCTGCGCTACCTTAAAGGACTAATAGTAGAAAGTTCCAAATTGACCATCATCTGGGATATTTTACCATACTTTCTTCAAAGGTTGATAAGACAGATCAGGAAGGAAATACAAGATCTGAACAAGCCAAATAACAGAATCCGCCTGATCAGGGGACACAGAACACTGCACTGTAGGACTACTGAATACACGTTCTTTGCAAGCAGATGCCAAACATTAAAAAAAAAAAAGACCAAGCAGTTTACACAAGTGTAAAAGTATTGAGATTATATGAGTATGTTCTCTGACTGATCATGCCTTATCTTTTAAGCTGGAATCAAGCAGCAAAATGTAACCAGAAATTCTGTATATTCAAAAAATCGGAATTATACTGCTAAAATAACACGTCAATGAAGACATCATAGTGGAAGCTAGAAGCATCTAGAACTGTAAGCAAATGCCATGTATCCAAACTTGTAGCATAAAGCTGAGTACTTGGGCACAGGTGAGCTTGTGATGGCTGGGAACTCAGGAGCTGCCAACTGAACAGCAAAGCAAGTCCACGCCGAAGTGAATGAGGAGAAAGAGACAGCAGAAAGTAATGGAATAGCATACTGCAAAAGATGGAGTCAGCACCACCAAAAATGTCATTACCACAACCAATAACACTGATTGGGCTGTGGTGAAATTTGTCAATGGGAAGAGAGAGCACAGCCAGGCTCCATGGCGCATGTCTGTAATCCCAGCACCTGAGGAGGCTGATGCAGGAGGGTGGCAAGTTCGAGATCAGCCTCAGCAACTTAGAAAATAAAGCACAAATCTGCTTCAGGAATGAAAAGGGTGCATGACTTCAGGTACCACAGACAAGAGGAAGATAAGATGATACAAGCAACTTTTTGCCAAAAATCTGGAAATTTAGTTAGAATATTAAGCTCCCACAAGAATACACCTTTAAAAAACATAAAAATTGTTATATTAATGTGGTAACATGGAATGTTTTGATACATCCATACTTTAGGTAATGTGAAACATATCTGTGCCTTCAAATAGTTACCATTTCTTTCTTTTTGTTTTTTAGTTGCAGTTGAACACAATACCTTTACTTTATTTCTATGTGGTGCTGAGGATCGAACCCAGGGCCCCATACGTGCTAGATGAGTGCTCTACTGCTGAGCCACAACCCCAGCCCTCAAATAGTTACCATTTCTTTACGGTGAAAACTTTAATTTACTCTTACCTCTTGCTTAGTTTTCAGAATGAAAAGTGTGTGGCCCACTTAGACTTGATGAGATATTCAGGCAATCTGCATTACTATTCTTTAAAAAAGTTATCCCTTATATTTCCTCCTTTGCCCTCAGGGCCTCTTTTTGACCCCTTTCTCCCAGCACACACACATTTGAATAAAGTTCCTGATGAGGAAACAGGCAAAAAAAAAAAAAAAAAAAAAAAAAGACACCTTTAAACAGAAGCAATGAGAGAGAAAACCAGAGCAGTTCTATACCAATGAAAAAAATTGCTTCCATCATGAAACATCTTTCCGTAAAAGAAGCCGCAGGCCCAGAGGTGGCATGGGGACTTTCTACCTCCCATTTGCAGGGAAATTATGTCAACAATACACAATCCTCTCCAGAGGAACAGAGAAACATGGGCTCTTTAGCTGGTTTATGAGACAAGCATAACCTTGAAACTGACTTCAGAAGCATAATCCAGAGAAGAAAATCACTGGCCAGTCTCAGAACATGTACACAGAAGCAGAAATCCTAAATAAAATATTCCCAAATCACCCATCCACGTATAAGAATAATAAAACACCATAACCAGGCATAGTGGCACACTCCTATAGAATCCCAGCTCCTCGGGAGACTGAGGCAGGAGGATTGCAAATTCAAGGCCAGCCTGGTAACTTGTTGACCCTGTCTCAAAATAAAAAGGGCTGGGGACGTACCTCAGTGATAGTGCATCCCTGGGTTCAATCCCCAGGACCAAGAAGAAAGAAAAGAAGAAGACATCATGGCCATGTTTGATTTTTGAAATTCAAGAATGATTTTTGACAATTGAAAATCACCAATAGTAACTGGCATTCCTACTGAAGGAAGAAAATTGTGATTATCTCGATGGCTATAGAAAGACCATGTGATCAAAGCCCACACCTGTACGTATTCTAAGTAAGTTAGGATGAAAAGGGAAATTTCTTTCTTTGGTAAAAATTGCAAACAAACAAAAAAAGCTTAATACTTAACGGTGGCATATTTAAGTGTATCCTCAGCCTGGGAACAAGAGAGGAGTCCCCTCAGACACTATTATCAGTCTTATACTATATATTCTAGCCAGGTCAGGCAGGAAGAAAACAAAGGTTTGAGGATTAGAAAACAAGGAACAGGAATCACCACTCCCAGGTAGAATGTGCACAGAATCAGTCATATTGCTGAAATTAAAAAAAAAAAAAATTAATGAGCTTATAAGGTAACTGATAAAAAGCCACACCAAAAATAATTTGTATTTTCATATACCAACAGAAGTTATAAAATCAAAATTATTTAAAATTTTTCATTTGTAGCAGAGGGAAAAAAATCAAGAATCTAAGAATAAACCCACTAAAGATTCATGTGGAGAAAACTTGAACACTCCCGAGGGTTTCCTTCATTCCTTACTCCTCATAACAACTCAGGTAGCCTCAGTTTACAGGTGATGAAGCTGAAGCACAGAAATGTTAGAGGCATGCTCCAAGTCGCACAGCTCTGTGTGTGAGTGTGTGTGTGTGTGTGTGTGTAAACACTGAAGTAATCAACAGAAGAAAGGCACAATCCCCCAGCATGTTTTCAAGTCTTGGGAGGTTCTAACAGGCAGCAGGGGCTGAGAGCTGATCTTGGGGGCAAACGCAGAACAATCCCCCTCTGTGGTCAGGGTTCCCGTGGCCTTTCCGCTCCCCTCCCTGCTTGTCACGGGGAGTTCCCTGGCCCAGCCAGACAGGCTTATGGCACTTCTTCAGAGGCAGAAGTTCACCGTGATGGGAGGTGGGTTGGGGAGAGGGACCACAGAGCCCTGTAATAGGCAGGGGGCAGCTGCAGGGGTGGGGCATGTGCATGGCACCGGAGCCCCCCAGGTTCTGGGGTCAGTGTCCCCAGCTGAGAATCCTCCTACTGGCCTTTGCCCCTCCCTCTCCCAACCCCACAATGAAATTTATCTCTCTGGATCCCAGCCCCTTGGAAATTCTCAACTAGGGAGCTGATTAAATTAGTCCATTCTATTGCCTCCCCCTCCCCCACCGCAGGAAATATTTGCATTTTACCAGAAACTTTCAATGGACTCTCAGGCTGCTGTGAGCAGAAAAGGAGGCTATTTTTGGTCTGAGATGTCTTTGCTTGTCCGTCAGAGCACACAGAGACGCTTTCTGTATGAGATCTAGGGCAGAGCCGGCAGGAATTCCTGTTCAGAGGAGAATGCTGGTGCAAGAAGAGGGGCTTCAGTTCCAGCGCCTCAGAGCCATCTGCAGGGAAGGGGAAGCAATTACAAACCAAAGCTAAACTAGCAGGTGAAAAAAGGCTGAAGGAAAGCTGAGAAGCCACAAAGTCCACCCTTCCTGTCCCTAAACACAGGACCACTGTAAAGATCCTGCGGTTGTGTCTCTGCAGCTGCCCTGTGTGTCACTGGACAGGGATGACCATATGCCTTCCTATTGTCAGGTCTGTCTTCCTGAAGCACAGCCAGATCCTCACCACCTTCTCCAGCTTGGGGTGGGGGGGGCGGGGGTCCTGCATGTCCCCCCACTGGCTGTGGAGTCAAGCCTATGCCTCACCCTAGCTCTGGCACCTCCCAGGGGCTGCCTCAGCTCTGAGTCCAGAAACCACTTGACTTACTGCAATCTCCCACAGAGAGAGTACTGTGGCTGTGTACTTCAGCCAGCCCAGACTGCTCCCTATTTCTTATGCATACCTGAGCCCACACATTCTTCCTTACTGTTCTCCCTGCCAGAAGTACCCTCCCTCAAATTCTCAGTTGTATTTGTCAAAGCCCAACTCAGTTCCTACCTCCACCTCACAGTCAGAACTGATAGCACTAATAATGATGATGGCTAATGTTTCTTAAGCACGTACTACATCCAGGGATTTTACAGTAAGGACTTTAAAGACAGCGAATCCTCACAGCAATCCTATGAAGTTTGTTATCCCCATTTCACAAGTTCAAAACCCAAGCATCTGAACAGTTCTGTAGCTTGTCCCAAATCACTCAGCCAAAAGGTGCCGCACAGGTGAAAATCCAGGTGGGACTCCAGGTGCACTGTTCACTGCTACTCACTACTGCCCCCTTCTGTTGGTTTAGCCCAAGTGTTCTATGTTGCTTGTACATTTATGATTCTAATTACTGGAACTGGCACTCTTTATTTATCATCTTTTTACTGCTCGACATTTGGCTTGTGGTGAACATATTTGTGTCCAAGGCTTTCTTCTTGTTTTAAAATCCCCAGAGATAGAATCACCAAGTATGTACCATTTCGCGATCCAGATAGGGAAAGTCAAATTACTTTCCAAAAGGGTTTCTCCATTAGTCGGATGCCGCAGTCCAGCTGCAGCAAAATAACCGGGGGGTGACGAACAACTTGTGCACGTTGATACAGCAGGAGTGGGAGCCGTTTATTGCAGGACAGGAGCAGTATTTATACATTCCACACAGCTTATCTAATTAGCATAAACTAGATACATCAGTCAACCAATAAGGAATCTCCACACTTAATGGCTCGCTTTTGTTACTTCTCAAACCACTCCCTCTGGCATTTTGCCAGGCACCATCCAGACTTGTTTATGAACTCTAACATTCCCCTGGCAAAATGCCAGGTGTTATTTT